CTTATGCTTCACAGCTCACCACCAAGCCTCCACCCTACTGCACCATTACAAACTTTACCTGCTCATAAGTTGCAAATGCAGGTTGCAGTTTTGCTATCTATATTTGTAAATAACCTTATAGACTCTATCGATCTACCCAGGTCTCTACTTCAAAGTTCCATGGTAACTTGGCGGACTTGCCTGGTAAGCTGAGGACGGTCTTCTGTCTCAACCGAGACCCAGGTTTTTTTATGTCATCTTCCCCACATGCGGGCGTTGGCTGTCGTGGAGTAGCAGGGCCTTCAACTATTTTGGACGAAGTTCTCTTTCGATCTCGCGAACCCCTCATCGGAAACAGTTCCTCTGAAAAAAGAATATCCAGGTCAATTTGAATTGTTAAGGAATCAGCCGTGCGGATCATGTTCCGTCTGTTTTGCAGGTTTTCCTTTGGTTAAGATAAGAATCTGCCCCGGTGAGACATAGTGATGAGTCTCCCATATAAACCGTGGGGAATGAGCATGTGTCAGGTTCTTTTTCTGCATTATGCAGTCTGTTCAAGAATGAAAATGTGATGTCCATTCATAGTGATATTGCTTCCAAGACGTAATTATGCTCATGCAGCCAGTTTCCCGTTTATATAGCAGTTTTTAGGGTTACACCTCATTTTGGAATGACTGTATCTCATCCGGACTTCGAGGATGTGTCTTGATTGAATTAGCCCTTCGTGGTCGAATCCAGCTGGAAAGCAGTGGAATGCGCAAAAAATCGTTGCTAACCAGAAAAGTGAGTTATGACGTTTTGTGCTTCCATTTGCAATCGATGGCGGATTAGCATTGACACAGCTTTTGCGGTTTCATTTCTCATTCTGTTTCCTAGGTGACTGTGAAAAACAGTGAACCAACGGGTGATGTCATTCTGGACGAGGCTTTGAGACATATGAAGGAGACGAATCCACCGGAAACCGTGACTAGTTGGATAGAGTACCTCAGTGGAGAGGTGTGTGACCTTTTGCTTAGAAAGAGACCTCATATAAGCTACGTTTTTAGACCTGGAATCCTCTGAAGCTAAGATATCAACTTCGCAATGTTCGTGAGAGACTAGCAAAGAATTTAGTGGAGAAAGGTGTTCTAACAACAGATAAACAGAATTTCCTGCTATTCGAGATCACCACCCATCCTCTTTCGGATGGGAATCAGAAGACGAAACTTATAAAGGTGAATGGTCCAGATCCAGTTCTGGTCTGTGACTTTCTGTAGCACGAGAAATGTTTTGTTTCCAGGAAGTTCAAGACGCTGTGCTCAGTAAATGGACAAACGATGTTCATCGAATGGACAAGAAGATGTTGTCACTTGTCATACTAGCCCATGCTTCTGATGTTCTCGAAAATGCATTTGCCCCATTGAGTGATCAGGATTACGAGGTGAGCATTCTGACTCAGAAGAATCCCGAATGCCCCATTCACTTGCTGATGTACGACTTTTTCTTCTTTAGCTTAAAGCAAGGTTGGCAGTAACGTTCATATGATGGCTGTTAGCGAATCAAAGTGACTGACGTTTCGGTGAGCTCACCTTCAGAGCCTCAAAGATGGAAATCGATTCAGGAACTACCCACCGAATGTCTCACTGTTCACTACTCGAGGGTCTCTCTGAGGGAGTGAGACATTTGGTGGGATAGTTCATAAATCGATCCATCCTTCCAAGCTCCCGGTGAAGGTGAACGCACCGAAACGTCAGCCACGTAACAGAGGTTGTTACTAACCTTGGGTTCACATGAAGAGAGTTTCCGCGTGTCGTGGTTAGGTGATGTGCAATTATGAACCAATAGTTGATAGAGTGATTTCTGAATTAGTGATAAGTGATTGAGAAAGATCAGAATATCTGACAGTGAAACAATCGCTTCCTGGCAGTCACACCGCCGAATTTCATTGAGAGACAAACCTGGCGTCTGTTCAGTAGCATTTTGAAGAGTAATGTTTTCAGTACTTTTCTTAAATTCTTATCTTTCTTGATAGAAGTTCTGAACAATGACTCAGTTCTTCATAGATGTCGAAAGTTGTTTTTCATGCATTCTGACTTCTTTTCAGTCATCAATATTTTTTTTTCGATGTAAGGGAGTTTTACACTCGATCTGTGTCTGATCTTTTATTGTTAAAGGTAGCGATGAAAAGGGTTCGGTCGTTGCTCGAGTTAGAATACGACGCACAAGCAGAAAAGAAAGGAAACGAGGTTATGTGGGCCGTGTTTGAAGCGTTCAGCAAATGATCTTTTTTGCTAAGGTAAATTTGTTTTGCTTTCCCATCACTAACTTGATATTTCTCTAATTTTCTGTTATCCTCGCAACAAACAGACGTGTTTATCAATATGGTATGAACTGATAGTGACTGAAAAGTTAAATAGCTATTTCGTCTTTTCAATCCTGTCTTTCCGTAAAACTCGCGCTCAACCGCAGTGATTCGAAAAATGTCAGTAGTTGAGTCCCGAGAACAAAACATGTAGTTAGTCCTATCCCCCTCTCCAACTCTTAGGTCTTGCATATAGATGAGATGCTGCTTGCATCGTCTAGCGTGTGTAGCCATTGATTTTGAGGGGTGCGCTTAATTTTCCTTCTTGAGACGGTTGTTGAGGAAGTTGTGCAATCCAGAAATCAAGGCAGCCGAATATGCAACGGTTTCGGGAACAACTGCCTATGCCGGATAAATGGCGCCAACGCCCAAAGTCTGCGGCGTCTACGGCAGTGGATTCTGCTTAATCAAAACAGAGAGACGTGTATAGCTTGCTATCTCGTATGATGAAAACAGGCTTCACATGGAGGGGACTAATCGTCTACTTCATCTACGTCAAGTCATTGCCGAAAAGCAGCAATCGATTTGTATACCACGCAGAGAAGAATCTAAGCTGCACTTTCGAACTCCCCTTGAATATCCACTCCTCACCGAGGAGGATGATAGCAGCACTTTTTTTGAGTTAGAGTATCCCAGTATGTGGTTTTCAGAGCCATTTGGCGCGAGAATGGGAATTTCATCAATCCCGAAATAGCCGATTTACGCGCCTTCTGCGAATACAGGACTTCTTGCTGGCCGATCATACCTAGGCATAAGGGGTGTTGCCATTTGAGAGACCGGCGCAAAGTTTACTGGAAAGACAACCTCCAATACAGTTTTGTTTGATGCGAATGAAGGGGTGTGTCACTGAGGCTGTATTGGCGCGCCGGCAGCCAGTTCTGCATCAGTTGTTGAAGCGGGTGGGCGACAGCAATTGGCGGAAAACGATTGTTTTGAGCGATATGGCACAGTCTTGTTGCCGAAACAAAAAAAAGAAGAAAAGAGAAGAAAAGAAAAGAGCTCGCGCTGCACAGAACCCACCCATTCTGACACGCTCACCCGCTGCGAAGAAGACTGTATCCGGCGTTCCATCTTTTAGGCCCTTGATCTCGGCTTAGGCACTTACGCGATGCCCACGGCACCATATCCAAAATGTTTTCCTCAGTTGTTACTGAAAGGGTGAATCGTGTTTAACCCTGCACTTTTGCATTACTTTTTCTTTTTGTGCAATTAGCGTGAGGCTAGCTTACCCACTCGAGGCTCTCGTGATATTCTGGAAATAATTTTTGATCTTCTTGTAGCTTTGAATTCTCAATGGAATCACCTGCTATCGTGTGCGTTGATTAGTGACAGCAGAATAGTTGTTTCAGTGAGAACATTTCACGTATGTGCCTTCACGTGGCAGGTGAACATACATGCATGGAATTTTTTCGTGGCTCGTGGCTGCAATACCCTGCCTTAATTGTTATTTTTATCGATTTCCAATGAAGCATACCCTCCAGTGAGCGGGCATCATCGCGTTGTGAAACATTTTGGCTGGATACGACCCCCTCCTAGCAACGTTCTTATTTGGTACGACCACTTTCGCAACCTACCTTCTAAACGAGAACCCAGTGTTGTGATACGTTGTAAAAGAAATCTGTTGAAGCTCAAGGGCAATAAAGCCTTTTGTTCAGAGGGTGCAATGTCAACTGCCCCGCTTTTGCAAATCTCGAATTTATTTGTTAAATAAAATTCAACCGATTCAATTCAATTTTTACCGAATAATTTATATTCGGTAAAAAATACGTTCGACAGATCGCAAGAGAGAGCTAGCTCATACATATGTTGAGGGAATTAACACTATACAGAAAGGGAAAAGAGATCAAAAACTTCTGGCAAGGAACAAATGCAGAAGGCTTGGAAAATAGTATTTAATATTTTATCTAATTTGTGGATTAAGCTATAGCTCCAATGGACTAAATGTGGTTCTCAAACCAAATGCGGCACTATTTCACTACTACGACTTCTGAAATCCAAAAAAATCGCTAAAACTGCCTGTCTCTAAGCGGTGGAGGTTCTGCCTAACCTGATGTATCCTGCGAACGAGAAGAAGTCGACGCTATCGAACTATTACTAGGACCCAAGGAAAATGTTGCTGTTCTTTTTGATTCAGTGCCCTGATCACGAATATGACACTCCTTTTTGTCGCTGGGGCCGTTTTGGGACCACAACATTTCCACCGAAATCGGTGAAAACGTGCATAACAGGGCTGATTATTATGCAGATCACGACTAGATCATTAATTCTCAAACATCATCGCAATTGCGCTTTGCTAAGGCTGAGCCTAGGAGGAGGAGTGATTCCCTTCTTGCCAGGCTCATCCGAACAGAGTGCAAATGATCATAGTGCCCTACATGAGCGTCGGTGCCAAGAATGAATGTTAGCTTCGTAACTAGATGTCAAATAGCCCCCACCACAAGTTTTCATTGACTGTGCTGAAAATAGTGGCGTTGTCAACCGG